GAGTACCTACACTGGAAGAGAAGCCTGGACAACAGACGGGGAGCTTGCAGCATTTGTCAGATTAACGATTAAGAACAGCATAGATCACCTACTCAAAATGGCTGTCCCTTGTGATGGAACCAAATGGTCCCATCCCCACTTCATACGAGGAAGTCATTCTGTTCTCATACACCACATAACCACTGTCCTCCTGCAAATAGCAACACTGTTGGCATCCAGTCCATGAAGAATAAAACCATAAGCAGCTACTCACCATCATTCTTGTGCCACATGCGGTCACAGGGAACTGGTATACAGCGAAGGAAGGTGTGGATCCAACAGGACTGCAAGGTGGGTCATTTCCACCCAGTAGATGGACTGAATCCAGACTCAGTCGAGGCAACGTAACATCTCTAGCCACCACTACCACAAACTGACCATCTCTTATACACTGGACAGTCACTGGAACGAAGGCACAAGACCAGGTTAATGTCGAGGATCAGTTTAACTGGGAGCATAACACCGACTCACTCTTACCTGCCTTCCCATAGTAACACTGCTGTCCGTTAAAGCAGCAGTTGATAGCTTCACATTCAGCACCACTGATACCAGGTTGTCCACATTGGATCTGCTCATAATCAGCTACAGCACATTTGTCCAAAGGCTCAGCCTTCACTACAGGCTTCTGAAACTGATACTTCTGAGGAAACTGCTGATTAGTCTGCTGAAACCACTGGTCAGTTTGCTGGAACATCAGAGCTAGAGGATTTTGAGCTGGAAGATCCCTTTGCTGAACAGCATTGCAAACCAAGACACATAGTTTAGAAATACAATGAATGCCAGTTACCTGCCATTACTACACAAGGAATGGTTTCAAACTGCCTTGCACTTGTATTTGTACTCTGCAAATTAACAATTATCTACCCCATCCCTTTAATCAAGAATCATTACAGCTGCTTTGACTAATTAAGAATTTTACTCCAGATTTGATTTGTTCTTTCCCAGAGGAAACCAAATTACAACAACAGCAGTTAAGCACATTGTCCATTTTTTTTTAATTGATAGGTTGTCATAAACAATCAATAAGGGGGCAATAAATAAAGTTATGTAAGACAGCCACAATCTCATAAAGGGTGGTCCAGATGCAGATGAGTATTGTCAAATGCTCATTTTCAAGTTCAAGTATAACTGTGCAAAAGAATTCAATCGATTCAATAAAATCTAAGAATTTCTAAATAAGATAAACCATTAAATCTTGTTTTTTTAAAGAACGACTCCATGTAAACAAAAAATTTTGTTTAAAGATGTGTTTTTTGCTTTTATTTTGATAGGACAGTACATTGACAGGAAGTGATGTGTGAGAGAGAGGGGGGGGGGGGAGACTGGGAAAGGTTCACAAATCAGGACGCAAACTTAAGATGCCTAAAGCACAATGGTGCTAAATGTCAACACTGCTCACGCTGCAATTGGCACAGACCAAAAACCACAACTCTTGATGTTTCCATTAGTGTTACAATTTAAAAAAAACTCAAACGCTATGAAAACGGACTAAACTTCTAGTTCCTGTAATGCATTAGATTTTGACATTTTTAGTAAGTATTAATACTGGTTTTAAACAAGAAATCAGTTAACTATACACAAATAATTCGAGGATTAAGCTTTACAAAGCTCAGTTGCCCTATGAGTTATGCAGATTCAAAGATTTGACTTCAGGTATGTGATACTATAATCAATTCTAGAACCGGAGTTGTTTAATTTAAAAAAAAAAAAAAAAAAATGTTGTACGATTAGATATGGTGGCAGGTTTTGACCTGACATTATGAATGCTCATTTCTAAACGCAATCACAAATGAGTTTACGTTGACTTTGGGATGCAACTCCAGAACACTACGTTGCAGTGTACATGTTCACTACAGTTTTGAATGTTTAAGCCCAGGGACACATACACATCAGGGTTGCTACCACAGTTCCAAGTTAAGGCAACAATTGGTTCTTTAAAGGGAGTTAAATCAGACCAGTTTTCCAGCAACCTTGGTTTAGCTAGTAACATCGACAACACAGCTGAGGGTGGGAAACTTACACTATCCCCAAAGACACATAGTAACTGGACCTTTGCATCAACTTCCATAAACCAAACATATGAAAGGCAAAAATGGAAGCCTGAAACTTCCCTTCAAATTGAACTAGAAAGCTCAGAAACCAAATCACTGTAGGCTTAGTTTACTGGGAAAAGCAGACTTAAATAAAATAAGCTCATGTAGTAGCTAAATGACAAACTAAATGAGAACTCCAGTGAAGAAAGTGAGCCCAAACGTCTCCGGACAGTAACGGTTTCATCAAGTTTATTAAAACAGCCATCTTAATACAGGATTACATGACCAAAGTAACTTCTCCACTGGATACTATGGTGTCCCTGCTAGAGATAGTCTTGATGTGAACATCCCTTCCTGCAAAAAGGTTCAAGAAATAATCAGCATACAAAAAAAAAAAAAAAAAAAAAAAAAAAAAAAGGAATACTATGAAAGTCACTGGGGACCAGCAACTGTTTGGAAAGACACCACATTCTTCAAAATAACTTTTATGTTCAACAGAAGAAAGAAATTCATTCAGGTTTAAAAAAACTTTATAGAGAATAAATCATAACAGAATTTTCATTTTTGGCTGAACTATCCCTTTAAAGTTAATAAAACAACAACAAAACACAAAGAGAAAAATCATGCACTGCTCTTGACTGAAGAACTTTAGTACAGTTGCTTTAATAAGAATTAATGTATAATTTATACAGTGAAGTGTATATAGTGTTTTATTTTTATATTTGTTCATTCAATTTCTTGAAAGCTACTGCTAAATGTACAGTACTTGAGAAATATTTGTATATTATGTGTATTTGTAATGTGTCTTTGCTCTTATTTTATTTTAAAACAGGGAAATTAGTTTGGCTGTACTGCTCAGACAACCAAAATGACAAAGAATCGTGATTTTCCTGAAACCCCCCCCAAAAAAAACATTGTGATATGATATTTTGCCATATCACCCACCCATATTTGATTAAAAAATACATAAAAAATCACAATGTGAAATTTTGACAAAGACAAACGTGTGGAAAGTTGCTTACAATGACGGTTCCTGATGTCTTCATGCCATGGAGCAGAATAGCCACCATTGTGAACACCAGCATCATTGGTCCATACAGCTCTCCAGCAACTTTCTGGGTTTAAAAAAAAAAAAAAAAAAAAGAACTAAAAAGGTTAAGATGAAACGCTCACTTTTCCTGCTGCAACTCTGCTCACAGGATCCAAGAGATGAGGGGTGGCAGACTGCTGTACTACAGTGGATGAAGATCTGACAAGCAAAGGGTTTAACCATGGCATACATTAAGACAACTAACTAAGGTCTCAGGCATGTAATTGAAGGTTGTCTGACGATTATACCGTTTCCTGCAGAGGGGCCAGTGATGCCGGATCTACAAATGTGAACATCTTCACAATAAAGCGCTTGTAGTGGGTTGGGAACTGAAGACCAGATGATCCAGTCACTGGAACCAATGTGGTCAGGTAACGGTCATCCTGGTAAGGGCATCTGAAAGGGAAGGTTAGCAATGCCCCAGACATGCTTCATAAACATTGCCATTACACTCACCCATCAACCAGAAGGTCCCACTGGGGTAGACTGAGTGGACTGGGGGTTGAAGTTGCCCAGCAGCGTCCCAGCATGAGGACAATGTTGGGGTCTGTCCTCTCCATAATGCGCACCTCAACATACACAGGCTCCCGCAGGACTCTTGTGACCGGATAATCAGCATCACTGTAGTAGGACGTGTAGGCCTCATCCCCTGAGGAACACTGGTGATTAACCAGAAATGGCTGCAACCTAGAGTCTTAAGATACTAGGAACAGGAACATACCTTCTGCACACCCTTTGGTGACACACTGGCCATTGGCTAGTCTAAGCTCCACCCTGAGGGGTCCAGGGGCAGCTACTGGTGGAGGTGGAGGAACAGTGTTGACCTCCACAACAAGAGCTTCTACAGAAGTGCCAGAGTACCTACACTGGAAGAGAAACCTGGACAACAGACGGGGAGCTTATAGCATTTGCCAGAGATGAACGATTAAGAACAGCATAGATCACCTACTCAAAATGGCTGTCCCTTGTGATGGAACCAAATGGTCCCATCCCCACTTCATACGAGGAGGTCATTCTGTTCTCATACACCACATAACCACGGTCCTCCTGCAAATAGCAACACTGTTGGCATCCAGTCCATCATAGGCCATGAAGAATAAAACCATAAGCAGCTACTCACCATCATTCTTGTACCACATGCGGTCACAGGGAACTGGTATACAGCAAAGGAAGGTGTGGACCCCACAGGACTGCAAGGTGGGTCATTTCCACCCAGTAGATGGACTGAATCCAGACTCAGTCGAGGCAGCGTAACATCTCTAGCCACCACTACCACAAACTGACCATCTCTTATACACTGGACAGTCACTGGAACGAAGGCACAAGACCAGGTTAATGTCGAGGATCAGTTTAACTGGGAGCATAACACCGACTCACTCTTACCTGCCTTCCCATAGTAACACTGCTGTCCGTTAAAGCAGCAGTTGATAGCTTCACATTCAGCACCACTGATACCAGGTTGTCCACATTGGATCTGCTCATAATCAGCTACAGCACATTTGTCCAAAGGCTCTGCCTTCGTCACTTGCTTCTGAAACTGAAACTTCTGAGGAAACTGCTGATTAGTCTGTTGAACTGGCTTCTGAAACTTCTGAGGAAACTGCGGATTAGTCTGTTGAGCTGGCTGCTGAAACTTCTGAGGAAACTGCAGATTAGTTGGTTGAGCTGGCTGCTGAAACCACTGGTCAGTTTGTTGGAACATCAGAGCTTGAAGATTTTGAGCTGGAAGATCCCTTTGTGGAACAGCATTGCAAATAGAGCAAACCAAAACACATAGTGTTTGGAAGTAAAACGAATGCCAATTACTTTCCATTACTACCCAACAATGCATAGTTTCAAACTGCCTTGGACTTGTATTTGTACTCTGCAAATTAATAATTGTTATCTACCCCACCCCTTTAATCAAGAATCATTACAGCTGCTTTGACTAATTAAGAATTTTACTCCAGATTTGATTTGTTCTTTCCCAGAGGAAACCAAATTACAACAACAGCAGTTAAGCACATTGCCCATTTATTATTTTTATTTATTTATTTAAGGCTCTGCCTTCGTCACTTGCTTCTGAAACTGAAACTTCTGAGGAAACTGCTGATTAGTCTGTTGAACTGGCTTCTGAAACTTCTGAGGAAACTGCGGATTAGTCTGTTGAGCTGGCTGCTGAAACTTCTGAGGAAACTGCAGATTAGTTGGTTGAGCTGGCTGCTGAAACCACTGGTCAGTTTGTTGGAACATCAGAGCTTGAAGATTTTGAGCTGGAAGATCCCTTTGTGGAACAGCATTGCAAATAGAGCAAACCAAAACACATAGTGTTTGGAAGTAAAACGAATGCCAATTACTTTCCATTACTACCCAACAATGCATAGTTTCAAACTGCCTTGGACTTGTATTTGTACTCTGCAAATTAATAATTGTTATCTACCCCACCCCTTTAATCAAGAATCATTACAGCTGCTTTGACTAATTAAGAATTTTACTCCAGATTTGATTTGTTCTTTCCCAGAGGAAACCAAATTACAACAACAGCAGTTAAGCACATTGCCCATTTATTATTTTTATTTATTTATTTATTGAGATTGATGGGTTGTCATAAACATAGTCAAAAAGGGGGCAATAAATAAAGTTATGCAAGAAAGCCAGTCTCATAAAGGGTGGTGCAGTTGCAGATGAGTACTGTCAAATGCTAATTTTCAAGTTCAAGGATAACTGTGCAAAATAATTTAATCGATTCAATAAAATAAGAATTTCCAAAGATTAACCATTACATCTTTTTTTATAAAGACTGACTCCAACTTAATGAACAAAACCTGTAATTCTTTTTTTTTTTAAAGATTTTTTTTTTGTGTGTGTGTGTGTTTTTTTTTTTTTTTACTTTTATTTTGATAGGAAATTGACAGGAAGTGAAGTGGGAGAAAGAAAGAGGGACGGGACTGGGAAGGGTCCACGAGTCAGGACTCAAACTTAAGACACCTGAAGCACAATGGTGCTGAGTGTAAGCACACTGCCCACAATGCTATTGGCACAGACCCAAAACCACAATTCTTGATGTTTCCATTAGTGTTACAATTTAAAAAAAAGATAAACTCAAAGGCTATGAAAACTGACTAAATTTCTAGTTATTGTAATGCATTAGAACAGAGCTTCCCAAACTTCTGAGGGGTAAGGCCCCAAGACATAGCAAAAGCTCCACGACCCCCCGCCCCACCTCTTTGTTAAAAAAATATAGATTAATAGTACATAGATATATTTAGATATATTTGTATATTAGATATATTTAATAAACAGATTGTCTCTTTGCACAAAATTATCACCATTTATTAATCAGTTTGTAAGAATTTCATGTGAATTATGAGAACTACCATAAAATTTAATATTTTTTATATTTTGGTGAAAGTAAGATGATGTAAACATTCTTTAAAAATATATTTAAATCCATAACACTACATACTTTCTGCATACTATTTACAATTATATTGCATCAAAGTGTGTAACAGAAGCTACTGTACATAGTTCACAATTCTATTGCAATGAAATACATAACTATGTATTTTAAAAAAATAAAACCTAAAAACATCTACATTTAAACTGAGGAACGATGTAAACTTTGTCAGTTTTAGTAAAGAACAGTCCCACAGTCTGATCAGCAGTCTTCCAGACAGTACCTAATGAGATGGGTGATGTTGGTTTTCAGCTGTTAAGGATTTGATGTCTGGTTGAATCAACGTCAATTTAAGACGGAGATCAGATTCCACACTCAACGCATTCCTGTACTTTGTCTTTAAGGCCACAAGCACCGAAAATCCCACTTCACACAATATACGTTGTGGCAAACGGCATCAAAAACATTATTGCCTTGTTGGTGAGTTCAGGGTATTCGTTTGACACATGTAACCAGAACTGAGTCAAAGTTTTTTCAGAAAAAATCAGTTTCAAGGAGCTGTCACAGGATAGATCGACGAGGCTGTCCTGTTCCTTGTAGGTGAGTCCCGCAATTACATCCTCACTGTGGTTGGCAAAGGGATACTGTATCCAGCTCTGCTGTTTGCTGATGTCAGGGAAGTAGTCCTGCATCTGAGACTTTAAAGCCTGCATGTGCTCTTGTCATAGCAACTGCTGCAGTGACGGGTAGTGGCCTTTCCTCCTTAGACAAAAAGTCGGACACGTTTTCGAAGGACTCATAGTTGGCTCGGGCAATTCTTTTCCCCCACAGATCAATTTTCTTTACGGTTGCCTCTATTTTGTTATGCACGTGAAACATTGTTACTGCTGTCCCCTGTAGGGCTAGATTGAGTCCATTCAAGTGGCTGAAAATGTCTGCCAAGTAGGCCAATTTACAAAGCCAGTCGAAATCACAGAGGCGGTCTGCAAGTTCAAATTTGGAATCAATGAAAAATCTTCTGACCTCGTCACGTAACTGGAAGAGCCGGGTGAGCACTCTGCCGCGTGAGAGCCAGCGGACCTCGGTATGTAGTAAAAGCTGGCGGTGTTCACTACCCATCTCTTCACACAAAAGGGAAAACAAACGTGCTTGCAGTGGACGACTTTTAATGTAATTCACCATTCTGACAGCATCGTCTAAAACCGTCTTTAAATCTTTAAATCGGAATGCCCTTGGATCATCTTTAAATCCATGGGAATTCTCTTAGCGGCTAATGCCTCTCTGTGAATGCAGCAATGTATATGAGTGAGCAGCGGGGCCACGTCTCTGACTCGCTTCACCACTCCACTGTGTCGGCCCAGCATAGCGCGAGCACCGTCGGTGCTGAGTCCGACGCACTTTGTCCAGTTGATGTCATTAGAAATTATGAAATTGTTCAGAATGTCAAAAATAGCTTCCGCAGTTGCGTTTGAATGTAGAGGTCTGCAAAAAAGAAAGTTTTCCTCAATTTCTCCATCACATTCATACCTAACGAATGAGAGCAAATTCACCATACCTGCGATGTCTGTGGACTCATCGATTTGAATTGCATAAAAACGACTCGCTCAAACTCTGCAAATTAGCTGCTGGAACACATTCTCGGCCATATCATTAATTCGGCACTTAACAGTGTTGTTTGATAAAAAAATCCAGTTAAGCATAGCACGAGCACCATCGGTGCTGAGTTCAACGCACTTTGTCCAGTTGATGTCATTGGAAATTATGAAATCGTTCAGAATGTCAAAAATAGCTTCCGCTGTTGCGTTTGATTGTAGAGGTCTGCAAAAAAGAAAGTTTTCCTCAATTTCTCCATCACATTCATACCTAACGAATGCGAGCAAATTCGCCATACCCGCGATGTCTGTGGACTCATCGATTTGAATTGCATAAAAACGACTCGCTCGAACTCTGCAAATTAGCTGCTGGAACACATTCTCGGCCATATCATTAATTCGGCGCTTAACCGTGTTGTTTGATAAAGAAATCAAGTTAAGTTGCTTAACTGCATTGTTTCCCAGCATTATGCTGACCATCTGCTTAGCGGCTGGAAAAATTAAGTCTTCACCTATGGTCTGGGGCTTTCCAGATGTAGCTATCAGTCTTGATACCTCATACGATGCTGTCACTGCCTTTTCATTTTCGCCACCCATCACACAGGTTGACTCGATCGCTTTTTTACGTTGCAGGTAATCTTTCAATTTATTTTCAAAAAATTCTCGAGGCTTGCTGGCAAACGACCCATGTTTTGTTTCGAGGTGACGGCATAACTTGCATGGTTTCTGTGCCTCATTAGAAAGGGTCTCTGAGCATAGCACACAGACAGGCGTGGGGTTGTCAGCAGGACCAACACTCGTAAATCCGAAGGACAAGTACTCCTCGCTGTACTTACGAGTCTTTCGTTTACTTGAAGTGCAGTTAGGTCCAGTTGATGAGGATGGATTGTTATCCTCTACTCCTCTTTTACCGAGCAGCCACTGTCGCATTTTTGAATTGACGGTTAACTGTGACTGAATTCCTCCTAAGCAACTAACATCGGTTTGAAAATAAGCAATGTATCTCACCTCGCTATAATGGGAAAACATTAAAAAAAAAAAGTTTTTCATTTGTGTAATAAGGAAGGGGGAAATCACATTTTAGAACAATTAGAATATTTTAATATTTTGATTTAGCCTAGCCACGGCCCCCCTGCAATACCGCTACAGCCCACAGTTTGGGAGGCACTGCATTAGACATTTCATCATTTTTAGTATTAAAACTTGTTTTAAGCGAGCAAGAAATTAGTTTAAGCTATATGGTAAAAAAACCAAACAAAACTAGTTTAATATGATTCACCGTTGACTTTGTGATACACCATAATTCTAGAACGGGAGTCATTTAAAAACAGAAAGAAAAAAAAAAAGCAGAAAATACCAAGCTTCCAACCATCAGCTCTGTCATGAATTCTGTCCATAGACTTCCATCCGACTGCCACAAGAGGTCGCCTCTTCATCATATTGACTCTCACACCACACAGACTGTTACATGTCACTCCGGACTACATTTCCCATCATCCATTGCACTGATTGCACACAGCTGTAACCAATCACATGCTCACCTGAAAGCTATTACACACATTATATAACACCCACTCAGATCCTGATCAAGTCGCCGAGTATTGATCTGCATTTATCACTCTCCTAGTGTTAGCTGCTTTACCGAGCCATTCTGTGTTTCTGTTTAGTCTCTAGTATTGTTCTGCATTTATCACTCTCCTAGTGTTAGCTGCTTTACCGAGCCATTCCGTGTTTCTGTTTAGTCTCTAGTATTGTTCTGCGTTTATCACTCACCTAGTGATAGATGCTTTACGGAGCCTAGTTTCTAGTTCTAGTTAAGTCTAATCATTTCGTGTTGCCTCTTTTCATGTTTCCTTATTCCTGCCTGTGTATCTTGGATTAACCCTTGTCTCTCCGCTCGGACTCTGTTTGTACTATTGCTCATGTGTCTGGATTACCCCTCTTGTCAAGCCCTCTGGATTCTGTTTGCCGATCGATGACCCACACCAGCCCTAAGAATACTCTGTCTTGTCTTATACATATCTGTTTGCTGATGCTCAGCCCTGCCTGTGTATGACCATGTCTATGAATAAAGCTTTGCGTATGGATCTGCATGTCTCACGTCTCATCAGCCCTGTAACAGAATATTCGGACACACAAGGATCCAGCAGCTTTTCTGATGAACATTGGTCAGGTATGAACATTGCAAGACTGTTATTAACTCTCGAGCAGGGCACGCGATCGCTCGAGGACTATATTCAAGAGTATTTATCCATTGCCTTTTACTCTGATTTATCGGACTGTTTGCTGATAGAGTTTTTTTTGCGACGGTATTAATCAACCGCTGATGTCTAAGCTTAGACGCGAGGGTCCGCGTTCATCACTCTGTCAGTTTATGGACTATGCTTTGTTGTGTGTTGGCTCCTCATTTACTGTGGGTGTCGCGGAGAAGGAACGTGATATCGCGATCGGGCCGGTAATGGCGGCCGCACCAGAACGCGCTCGCATAATGGTGGCGACAGCGGAGCCCGTTCACAAAATGGCGGCCATAACAACGCTCCGTCATGTCACAGCTGCCATCCATGACTCAAGTCAAGTCACAGCTGATCTTCATGAGTCAAGTCAAGTCACAGTGGATCGTCATGAGTCAAATCAAGTCACAGCTGATAGTGTGAGTCAATTCAAGTCACTGCTGATAATCATGAGTCAATTCAAGTCACTGCTGATCGTCATGAGTCAAGTCAAGTCACAGCTGATCGTCATGAGTCAAGTCAAGTCACAGCTGATCGTCATGAGTCAAGTCAAGTCACAGCTGATCGTCATGAGTCAAGTCAAGTCACAGCTGATCGTCATGAGTCAAGTCAAGTCACAGCTGATCGTCATGAGGCAAGTCAAGTCACAGTGGATCGTCAGGAGTCAAGTCACAGCTGATCTTCATGAGTCAAGTCATGTCACAGTTGATCTTCATGAGTCACGTAAAGGCACAGTTGATCTTCATGAGTCAAGTCAAGTCACTGCTGATCTTCCTGAGTCAAGTCACAGCTGCTCTTTCTGAGTCAAGTCAAGTCACAGTTGATTCCCCTGAGTCAACTCAAGTCACAGCTTCCATTGCTGAGTCAAGTCAAGTCTCAGCTGATCTGCCAGAGTCTCGTCACATCACAGCTGATCATCCAGAGTCACGTTACATCACGTCTGTTTGCTCAGAGTCCTGTCACTTCCTGTCTGTTGCATCCAGATCCTCAAGGACGGTTCTTCAGTATCCCAGACTGGCATCCAGCGTGGAGGACCCACCGCTGGTGTCGACACGTGCAGCTGGTATCCCTAAACCAGCGCTCTCAAGCCCTCCAGTTCCTGAACTATTTCCCCTGTCTGTAGCGCTTCCCACAATGGGGATCGCTTTATGGTATATTTGGGCTGCATACACCACCACTGAGACTCTTGAAACAGTGGTGCCTACTATGATGTTTCCAGAGGTGGCGGCTGATGCTGCAGAACCTCCCAAGGTAGTGG